TTTCTCTCTTTCTTTCTCTCTTTCTCTCTTTTTCTCTCCAGATGCCCCCTCCTGTTCGCGCCGCAGTTGTTTCAGCAGTTCCGGTCATGCCTCGTCCTCCGATGACCTCTGTGGTCCGTTTGCCTCCGGGGTCCGTCATAGCCACCCCCATGCCCCCCATCATCCACACCCCGCGCATCAACGTGGTCCCCATGCCGCCCTCGGCTCCTCCCATCATGAGCCCCCGCCCGCCGCCCATGATCGTGCCCACAGGTCAGTGGCTTCATCTTTTTCGGGTGAATTGTCAGCTCCTTCCTGTGTAACGCCGGCTCGAGCTTTGATTCTTTTCTCCTGTGCTTCACATAACGGCACGTAATCGGCATTGCGGTCCCATCGCAAAGAATTTGGGGGTGTTTGGTGTGACTTTGCTAGCAGTACTGCTTTTACGCTGGAGACTCCTGCAGTTTGAAATACGGAGAACTGTCTCGCCCATTTAACATCTATGCCCTGGGCAGCCTGCCCAGGTGAAGATTAAGGATCCACGCTGCGTTCCAAAAGGAACCAGAGTAAAGAGGAACTACCGCTGGGTGGGACAGCTCGTTGCAGAAGTTATTGCTGCAGGAGGAAAAGCTGTTGCCTGGCCCCTTTCCTTCATAGCATGAAGTGCTTTTAAGTTGAAAAGCACAATGTAAAAAATAATTCTTCCTTTTTTTCTTTTTTTAATCGCGGCGCTGGCACTGCCGCATGCCAAACCGAGAGCATTTTCTTTTTTTCAAGATCTGCAGGAAGCACTTCTGCCACTTGTTGTCTTTTCCTGGACGGTTTCCCAGTGTGAAAGATGTCCTAACGTTTGAAGCGTGCATGTTACTGCTGGTCCTGTTAACTTCTGTGTATTGTGGCGTTTATTTTCAGCTTTCATCTGCTACAAAAATTGTTTTGTGGGAGGGGAGTGTCTACTGTGTACTCAATGGTTGACTGCAGCTTGTGTTGTGTCCCCCGTCATATTCTTTCAGCGTTCGTTCCTGCCCCTCCTGTGGCTCCGGTTCCTTCCCCGGCGCCGATGCCGCCTGTTCACCCGCCGCCACCGATGGAGGATGAGCCAGTCTCGAAGAAACTGAAGAGCGAAGACAGCCTCATTCCAGAGGAGGAATTTCTGCGCAGGAACAAGGTACGTGTGCAGACTGGCTGCTTGTCCTGACCCCACTGGGCTGTTCAGCTGCTGCAGCCCGAAGTGGAAGGAAAAAAAAAAGTATTTTGTGAGGGACACACTTTCTGAGGGGGCTCCTTCCTGAGCAAACTGAAGGGTTTTACAGGGAAGAGAGGTGCAGCACTGCACACAAGCGCATAGTGAGACAGTCCCCTTCTGTAATTAAGGGCAGCGCGAGGTAGGTTTGCAGTAATGTAAAGAACTAATGCTGCTAATGAGCTTTTCAGCAGAGGACCGTTAAGCTGAAGATGCAAGGAGATTTAATGTATCAATATCAGCCTGATAGTACGGTAATGTGATAGATTCCAAAACGACACGAACGAGAGGTTGGGCTGAATTCCTCCTTGAGGTGTGGTGTCACCGTGGGTTGAGTTTTCAGTCCTCTGAGGAGGCCGTATGGTTTTCCTGGATGTCTTCACGGGGAAGCTGTCTCCCGTTTCACCCCTTAGTAGCGCGGATGCTTGAGGGGTGGCACGCAAGAGGAAGGACTAATGAGAGAAATCCAACTCGGTGTTTTGCTTTGGTAGCAGTTCTCAGCGTTGAGGCAAATACATTTCTGCGTGTTTACCAAGAAAGCTGAGATTAGGTGATGGTGGTTTTGGAAATAAGTAACTCGTCTGCCGCCGTGTGTCTATAAATAATTTGTCTGCCGCTCTTTTATCGTAGTCCTGAGCCTCCTTGCCTGCAAGAGACGTTATCTTTTGTTTCCTCTAGGGTCCGGTCACGGTCAAAGTCCAGGTTCCCAACATGCAGGACAAGACGGAATGGAAGCTGAACGGCCAAGTGTTGGTGTTCACCCTGCCGCTCTCAGACCAGGCACGTGGCTTTTTAACCCGCCCTCTACCCCGTCTTATTTCCCTACCGAGCTGCTTCGCTTTGCGAGTAGCGGTTGACCTGGAGCTCTAAAACTCTGGACGTGCCCTGAGCTGCAGCCTGTTCCCCCCGCAGGGCTGGGGGAGTGGTGCTGAGTACGGTGCTGGGGAGGGAGAAAAGCCTGAGCGAGCTCTTTTGCTTCTTCCTAGGTGTCTGTTATAAAGGTTAAGATCCACGAGGCCACAGGGATGCCGGCTGGGAAGCAGAAGCTGCAGTATGAGGTGGGTTAGAAGCCCTTCGAGTGCTGTTTGTTACCTCAGTGCTTTCTCACGCGCAGACTGTCTTTTTATGAGGAGAAGTTGTGATGCCCCTGCTGAGAAGAGCAGCGAGAGTGTTTCTCCTGTCCCTCTCAGCACCCGTGTGTACAGAACTGCCTGTCGCACCCCAAGAGCGGGCTCTTCAGAGGTGGCATCTTTGCATCATCGCTGCCACGGATGAGTTCTCTAAGCTATTTTTGGCTTTCCCCAAAATCAGCTTTTTACGTTACTGGGGAGTTTAGACATTTAAACACAGTGGTCTGCTCCCATGGATCTGCCGTGGGAAGGTGGGTGAGAGTACCTCGAAACCCTGGCAGCCCTGAAAAGACTTCAGAACATGGAAAGGAAGAGATTTCTCTCCTTCTCTTCCTCTTGAGGCCGGAGCTGTCAGAAAGGCACCGTTCCTTTTTACTAACTCGTTTCCAGTCATGCATGTGCACAGGCACAACCTGCTGCCTAAGCACTGAACTTTGTGCACTTAGCTCCTGAGGAGTTCATCTGTGGGCAGATAATGTGTTAACCTTTCGTGAGAAACAAGCCGAACTGATTTGTAAGGAGGAAAAAAAAAAAAAAAAAGAAAGGATGGGGGGGGGGAAAGTGAAGCCTAAATGACTTCTCTTGTTGTGGTGACTGTCTCTACGTGTATGTTGGGAGAGGTATATAGTGTATATTGTCTATTTATACTCTTTTTTTTTTTTTTTTTTTTTGGTTTACGAAAAATTTCTCTGGTGTTTTTTAAATCCTGCAGCATCCTGTAGTCACCCTGTTCCCAGAGCCTGGCCAGGAGGGGCTTCATTGCTGGCGTTTTGAAGGGAACATTAAGATTTCTACTGTGACCGTTGTGTGTTTTGGTTTTTTTTCCCTCTCTTCTCCCCCTCAGGGCATCTTCATCAAGGATTCGAACTCCTTGGCTTATTACAACATGACCAGCGGCTCCCTGATTCACCTGGCGCTCAAGGAGAGAGGAGGCAGGAAGAAATAGGAGCCCGTGGATGTAACGTGGCTGCGTTGCCGCTCGTGTAACCCCAACCCTGAGTCCTCCAGCCTTTTTAGGGGCTCCCGCAGCTGCCCGACACCTCTAGTTCGCGAAGAGAAACTGTGACCCCTGCACTGGGACAGCTGGTAGAGAGAGAGGGGAGGTTGATAGAACCCCAAACTGTGTCGATGTAGCATGTAGCCGCAGCAGTCTGTTAGCAATCAGTGCTTTGCTCGAGTGCTGGCTCTCTGTTTTGATGTTCCCTCGTGAGGCAACACCGAGGTCGCGCCCGGCTTAGTCTAGATCCATCTTTTGAGGGATTTACGCTGACCAAGAACGTCGTCTGACTTCGCAGCGCTCGCTTCTTCCTTTAACCTTTTGCTAAGTGTGAAAACGTTGTTCCCTTGTTCTTTCTCCCTCTTCTAGCTTGGAAATTTATCCCCCCCTCCCCCAGCATGACTGTTCCCAGC